CGAGAGTGGGAATCGAGCTCCGAGTTCTTCAGATTGCTCCAATCCTTGCCCAAGGGTTATTCTTCGTCAGTTTCTTTCTCTAGGCTTCTCTTTCTGCTATTTAGAACTCAAAAATCCGGATCCTTTGCAATTTACCCGAGCTCCCTTTTTATTTGCTGGAGATTTGCGAGTTACAACCAAAGTTACGGTCATAACTCCCTCTTCCAACCCGTAACTTCCCTTTGAAACGTTGACGTCTTTGTACTCCGTAATCCATGAGTTATGGCTCTTATAGGGAAGTTACGATTGAAACCATAACTTTCGAGGGGGGGGGGCGTAACCTCAAAAGTGCTCCTGGAACCTTCGCGATCCCGTTCTCTGATTTACGCGCCTAGCGGGTAAGTCATGGTTTAGACCGTAACTTTAAGGGTTTGACTGTAACTTTGAAACTTCTTATGGATCCTTGGCTATCGCTTCTCCAGAATTAGGGGCGCCTTGGGGAAGTTACGGTCCAGACAGTAACTTTCAGGGTCTGGCCGTAACTTTTCCCTGCTCTCTGCCCAATCGCTCCAAAACGTCCCAAAACTCGCTCTTTCACTCCCATTCACGTAATAGGACCTGAAACATCATAAACCAACACAACCTAGCGTAAAATAGACCACAAGAGCGAGAAAGCGAGCTCAAACGATCAAGAAATGGTGGGAAAAATATGTTCAAATACAGTGTTATCACACATGCACATGCGCACATGCACATGCACATTCACACGCACACGCGCGCGCACACACACACATACACATGGTTCAGGCTAGTGTATGTATGGTGTATGCTATATGCCTCCGTTCACACTATCGTATGTCTATCTAGTTTTACTATTTAGACCACGAATTAAGCATATATTGGGGACATGATACTATACCATAGCCTCTAATGGGTGAACCCCAGTCTCTAATCCTCTCACCACAACCATAAAATTCATTTAATATGAAAAAGTAAACAACTTCTCTGATTCATCAAAATATGCCAAAGTACATACAACAAAAGTGAATGCAGGCGCACACTCTCCTTTGCCATATATATAGATGAAAGATCTGAAATCACTAATAATAAACATAATATTACCCACACCCTAATCGGCTTCCCAACAAGTGTTGATTGACTTCTCGACCTCAAAGAAGCCATCAATATAAGTTGTGTCAGATGAGGAGAAGGTCGTTGTCCTTTTAATACTTGAAAACTACAATTGAAGTTTTTCGGGTAGTATCTATTTTTTGTTCAAATATTTTTCAGATTCTTTTATTTTCTCCAAACCTATTAAAATACTATTAATTAGCCAAATCTTTCATAATGCATCAAAATATTAGTCATTTTTACTTTATCGTTAATAATTTTATAACTCTTTTTTTAGTTAAAATACTAAAATTTTGGAATGTTGACCTTCATGTATCTCTTCCAAGTCAGTATCATGTTACCAAGTCAATATTACTTACAAAATTGATAACTAAAAGTTAATATTTGACTAATTCTTAATATTTCGATATATTTGTCTAATAAAAAATTTTTTGAAAAAAGTTTGACTATAGTCATTACCCAATCCAAGTTTTCCTTTCGCATTCTCACAAAGGAAACACGTCTGCAGCGAATGCTGGAATTTCATTGTTGAGACTCGAGTGTGGAGGATAAAGATTTTAATTGGAAGAATAGGAAGAAGTCTAGATTTTTTAGAGCAAGAATCTAATGGAGTGGATTGATAGAAATATACGTTTATATAAATATGATATTTTTTTTAATTAAAGAGCTGAGAGGAGATTAGAGGAAGAGAGAGAATGTTTACTTTATGGGGTTTTGTTTGGTAATGGCTGAATAGTTTAGGATATTATTATGAATTTTTCTTGTGTGTTTTATTAGAAATATGTACTTTGGATTTTTCTTTCAGAGTTACGAAAAGAATAGTAGAAAAATTATTGCCAAATCTCTCGATCCTAAATTTCTCTGTCTCCCAAGAGTGACTGCTAATCAATTATTCCTATTATCCTAAATCTTCGTCCATTTCTCCCTAAATTCTAACTTTAGTCCTTCTATAATTTTATCATTATGTCTCTTTAATTCTATCTTCAATCTCAAGAACTACCTCCAACTATAGGTTTCTTCTATTCATATGGATTGTTTTTCTTCATTGCTTTAATTCGATTTCATGTATGTTTGATGTGAAAGTGCGCATATATATGATTTATGTTTGAATTGTACATTGGTTTGATGTGAAACTGCGACTAGGATAATCATTAGGTAACTAAAAGGCGAGATGGTTAGCAAGAGATTGTTTTATTAGAAACTAAGACTAGAAATTGCTGGAATCTTCGGATCCTGCATAAGTGCATATTATCAATGAGATATGTGCTTTATAATTGATCTATAGCTTATGAGAAATTGCGCATAGGTTAGTTTATAGTTTTTGTTGCAGGCTAGAAATCGCGGATATGAATAAAAGATATCAATCTCTACCAAAAGGCGAGATGGTTAGCAAGAGATTGTTTATCCAAATTTTATTTTCCAAATTTATACATTTAATCAATGCATCAACGTACAATACATATTGATTGCATGCATCAGTTTAGAAGATCTCAACCTCCAAATGTCTCCTAAATAAATAAATAGGCCAATGAAATACGACCCTAAACAATTGTAGAATTTTATCTTCGATTAGTCAGCCGGATAACCCAAGATTAAAAAAAACTAACAAACATGTTGAATTGGATTATTAATTCGTCAAAGAGAAACTTCAAGCTCAGATCAAGATTCTTCATGTTTCTTTTATACTCATTAGTTGGTGATGTGTTCATCAAACCCCTTACCTCCAGGCTCCTTTAAGCTCATACCTCTTCAAATTTGATGTTGCCAATATGTACTCACTAGCTTGCGATTTCTTTTATCCAAGATAACATTCCAGTGCATGGTCGAACATTAAAAAATATAAAATTGAGACTAATAAAGAATAGTAGTCCGTATAAACCAGACTTACAATAAAATATCCTTATATGTTACGAGGTGGACAACTCTATAAAAGCTCTGAGGAGCCTTTTTTGTTCTCTTTTGCCATCCCTGTGTTAGTTTTGTGTCTTTTCGCTCATCGGAGTTTTCACTAGTTTGCGATTAGGTATAAGGGTAAATGACAATTTTCTCACCTAACACATGCCTCGAACTCGCGTAAGGATTTAAATGGAGTGATATAGTTTTTTGAAAATCCAAAAGTGGCCTCATTTGAGCAACGCTCCACCAATTTAAATAAAAAGTAAGTGAGAATTAACCGTATTTTCAGTAAGTATAGTACTAGCTGTTCGATCGAAAATCCAATTGGTAAGAAATTTTAGAATTAAAAGATGATTGAATCATAGTTAAACAACAGTGTAAACACACAATACTCTATCACTTACTTTTTTGCTACAACCTCTTATATGATTTTAAAAAAATTGAAATTACCGTTTTCAAATTTTTTGGTGTGATACCCGAGAAAAAATAATAAATTGGAGTCCCAAGTGGTTTATATCGAACATGTTGAACGTTTAATATGGTATCGTGTCTGCATGCTTCTTTTTCTTGCTTCACTAAAACATACTTGCAGATGAGTAAAATAACATTTCCCCCAACTTGGTTACTTATTTATTCCTTTTAATATATAACCCGACTTGCTTGGTCGTTAATAGTTATATGTTAACCATATAAAGAAATTTCTTTATTGGGCTCATATACATCTTAAGTAACACTTCTTTAGCTTTGGATATAATAAGTACCTACGTACATTCAAGTACACATAAAGAAGCAGATAATATTTAAAAAAGGATTATACTGATAATCTCAAATTCAAACCTATAAGAAGATTAGTGTAAAACTCTAAATTAGCATTGTCACAACAATTCAAATTATTGGGACTAACTGATTTACAACATGGTATCAAGAACTGCTTCGACACAGTGATCGTGCGTTCAAATTTTCACGAACATCTTGTTGCACTCTCCCTTCGGCCGTTGACTGAATGGATTTACTTCATGGGCGCGTCTTTCACAAAAAAAAGGTCTCTTTGATTAGCTAGACCATCTTGTATCGTCAAACTTTTTTCACACGCAAGGAATTACCAGGTCATCGATCTCCTTTGATCCGCAATAGTAGAGATACATATCTTAAATCCCAAGGTCACAGTACGACGGTCCCATCGAACTGAAATCCACCTCCAATCCATGAAACGAACGACTTTCATTTGAAAAGCTTATAACAAAATCCGTGTAAAATCCACAATTATCTTATTTTGTTCGGAAATATATGCGCCAAATATATAAAATAAAACAATTTATTGAAACAGAAATAAAATAAAATTTTTGCCTGAGATTTACGTAAAAAAACAAAAGCCAAACAAAAATAAGACAAAACAAAACGAAACATTCCCCCCCTCATAAAAAAATAAAAATTTGAAGTCCAATGGTTTCAATTGCTGAGACGGTTACAAACGAATGGTAGACTTCCATCTCACAGAACAGAAGGCAACCCAACCCAACGGCTGACCGCAACTTCCTCCACAACGCCTATTATAATCCCTTCGTCTCCCCATCTCCTCCATCGTCCGCCGCTAGCTAGGTCTCCTCCTCCTCCTTCGTCGTCGTCGGTCGATCGACTCCCTCCCCTCCTTCGATCGACGACTTAGCTCTCCATTTCTCCACACAAACCAACCTCATTCTCTTCTAATCAATAGCCAACACAACGGATTAATTAAATCCCTAGCTCCGCCCAATCTCCCTCTCTTCCCCAGGCCACCGGTGGCGGCCGACAGCCTGCCCCGCTGCCGCTGCCACCACCGACCTTCACTCAAACTCTTAAAAGGAAAAATGACATCGCAAATATCGACGCCGGTGAGACCTCAACAGCCCAGCAGCGGCAACAAGAGGATCAGGAACAAGAGGAACATAACAGTGGATGTCCCGGTGGCGAGGTTCGCGACGACGGCCTCCGCGCCACAATCTCCGGTGCTCCCGATGCAGGCTCCTTCCGCGGCGACGGCGGACGAGGAGCAGCAGCAGCAGCAGCAGAGGAAGGCGGTGGCGGTGAAGAGCAAGAAGTGCTTGTCGAAGCAGCTGTCGATGTGCGAGACGCCACGCGACGTGGCGTGGGAGCGGCGGAGGCGGCAGATCCTGAGCCAGGAGCGCCGGAAGAGAGGGATCCCGGTGATGGAGTCGTCGGAGGACCTGACCGACGAGGATCTCAACGAGCTCAAGGGATGCATCGAGCTCGGGTTCGGGTTCAATGAGGAGAAAGGGCAGCACCTGACCAACACGTTCCCGGCGTTGGATCTGTATTTCGCCGTCAACCGCCAGCTGTCTCCCAGCCCGGTTTCCACCCCCAACCGCCGGTCACTCGAGCGTCAGCAGACGTTGGATAGCCCTAAAAGCGACCCCGAAAAAGATTGGAAGATTTGCAACCCAGGTACCTACATCCCATTTTTTATTTTTATTTTTATTATTCCACTTATAGCGTCTTTCTGTGTGTTCCTTAGATCAATCCAACTTGCATCATTGACAAAAAAAAAATGTCATTAATTAGGGGTATGTTTATTTGGATAAGCAAGCAGCTTTCTGGGGGAAAATTGCGATACATTGTGCATGCAAACATATATGCTATTGTTACTGGATAATAATTACTAACCCATCATAGAATTGCTTTAAAATTTCGTTTAAGATGATCAATGATGTACAATTTGAATGGAAATAGGATTTCATCATCTTTACATTAGCACTAGTCCAACCAACCCATGGAGATACAGAGCTATGTATTTGCTAGGATTATATGTAATGTAATATAATGTGGGGGGTTTGGGATGCAGGTGACCATCCAGATCAAGTGAAGACCAAGTTGAGGCATTGGGCTCAAGCTGTGGCCTGTTCAGTCATGCAATCTTACTAGCTTCTGACTATTTAAGTATTGGGAAAAGCTTTTGTGTATAGGGGAAACCATTGACAATAGAGGGGGTAAGAAAAGAGAGACAACATTGACATTTAGAGGAGAGATCAGGGAGATTGGGAAGAAGAAGGGAGGCAAAAAAAAGACATATACTCACGAATTAATTAAACACTAAAAAATTTACCATTGATTAGTTAATATAGCTCAGGAGATCTTCTGACGGTTTGATCAAAAGTACTACGTACTTCTGCATGCATACGAGTCGTGCGTGCTAGAGATGTGGATGGTCGATCGTAGCTGCCTACATGCTACACAAGAAGGAACATGATCAAGTGATTAAATTGATAACATGCATTGCAATGATTGTCGTGACATTTGTATTGATGAGGTGGCAGTTTGACTATATATATCTCGAAACCTTCTTGTTCATTTTTCAATGATCTTCTCTCTTTCTCCGTTTCCTCTCTCGTCGAATGTTTGTGTGATGGACTAGTTTGTTGGTTGCGTTCGGAGAGAGATCACAAAATTTTGTCGTCGATCAACATAGCCAACTTTTTCAACTGTAGGGATGTGAAGAGTGAAGTCTCAATAGGAGTGCACAATATTTTTGAAATATGAAGAAGAATGCAGAGCATCCCAGAACATAGAGAATGGTATTAACATTCTAATAGAGCCAAGAAACGTGAGAGCAATTAGGAGAACTGAAATACTCTTGAAACAAGCTTGTATATATAGATTTAGTTTGATTATAAAACCTTAGTGGAAGATTCTAGAAACTATGAAGACTTATTAGTGACTTTGGGAAGTGATGGTACATGTTAACATGTATATATGTTTGTGGATAATTTAGAGGATGTATTGTAGTTGTAAGAAGAGGATAATCCTAGTTGTCCGTTGAAGAAGGTTATGCCTATATAAGGAGTACGCCATACCCTCGTGTACTTGTAAACTTTAGGGAGTTCGAGGAAGGATGACCTAAGTCTCTAACGAGATTTGAATGTTCACGCCACAAGGAAGATTTTGGCATTGGAAGAACTTTGTTCTCTTATATACCTAATTATCTATTGACCATCCCTTCAGAAACCAGCTGTCTGATATAGTGCACATGAACTACAATATGTTTTGTTCTATCATGCAGGAAAAGATTATTTGCTATATGAATAGCACTGGTATTGTCCCCATATATGCGCATAGGTTGCTTGCACTCCACACCAAGCTCTTGAAGCAGTCTCTCCAACCACACCATCTCTGAGCTTACTTCAGACATTGACCGATATCCTGCTTCTGTAGAAGAATTAGACACTTTATCCTATTTCCAACACCGCCAGGATACAAAAGACCTTCCAAAACATATACACCAACCTAAAGTGGACCTCTTTGTGTCCTGACACCCAGCAAAGTCGGCATCTGCAAATGCTTCCAGCATCGGCGTTCCACCTTCAGGAAAAAACAGACCAACATCCTCTGTCTGTTTCAAATATCTAAGCAACCGATGTACCGCATTAAGATGTGTTGTTCATTCAATTCCCATAAATTGACTCACAACCTGTACTGCATATGCAATGTCTGGTCGAGTATGTGTTAGTTAGATCAGACTTCCCACCACACTACGCTAATAAGACTGATCTTCCAACATCTCACCACTCTCCCTGTTAAGCTTCAAATTTTGTTCCATGGGTGTACTGCACGGTCTACAAGAGTGATAACCGGTGACAGTAAGAAGATCATGTATATACTTCTTCTGATTAACAAACAAACATGTACTTGATCGACTCACCTCCAGTCCAAGAAAGTAAGTGACACGCCAAAACACAACACCAAACTGCGACCAAGTGTAATCGCAGTCCGGGAATGCAGTAACAGGCAAGTTATATTATCAACCCGGGGTCTAGATCTACTGCTTACTCCGTGATGATTTATTATCTAGCAAACTAATTCGAGTGATTGTTGTTTAAAGCAAAAAGCAGTAAGAAAGCAGGAAATTATTCGGTTTTCTCAAGCAGGAAAGAGTCACTCGGGAATGAGTCCCCCTAGCCCCTTAGTTAGGTTCAATTGTAATTCTCCTGGGTTGATTCACTGTTGATTAGACTGCGGAAGATCCGACAGTAGCTTGGAATCTCTTAAGCTGACCAAGCCCTCTCAGTCTAACTACCCGGCAGACGACTAGTCTTCACCGGGATAGAAAGTTGAAGCAATAAGCACAGAACTCCACTACTGGAATTGAATTCAAGTACAAAGCAGTAAACTGGCTAACTCTCGTATAGCCAATCTCCTACTATCGAATGAAGAGGCTCTAACAACCTAATCAGATTCTATCTATCTCAGGTTGCAGCATAAATCAAGAAAAGCTGATCAGACTTCAATCAATTCAATAAACATGCATCATTCGATTAAAATCAAACAGTATAATCATCCCAAGTCATTACAATCAAATTCCTAACACAAGGAACTAGGGCTCTTCATACCCAAGTGAGAGAAGGGTTCTACTCCATAGAGAGAGAGAGAGAAGAAAACAGTAATCGGAGTAGTCATATTCATAATGATGAAGAAAATCTGCTCCGGGATGATGATTTCCACTCCTAAGACGATCTCCAAGCTCGATTTGACGAAACCCAGCTCCAAGATAGCTTCTAGGATGTGTTCTTCGTACTTTCTCTCTCTAGGGCTCTGTTTTTGCTCTGAAAATCCGATTCTCCCACTTTTGGCTCGAAATTGGCTCAAAAACCAGAGTTTCCCGACTCACACGGGCAGGCCACACGGCCGTGTGGCTCACCACTTTGCCCGTGCGAGTCGAAACGCAGCGTGCCATTAAGTCGATCTTCAGCCATCTCACACGGCCAGGGTTGCACGGCCGTGTGAATTTCCTGGGATGCCCGTGTTTGGCCTCGGCAAAAATCACACGGCCACCTTGCTCTCGTGCACGGCCGTGTGAAAGTTACTTGTGCCCGTGTTTGCTCTCGCACAATCCCACACGGCCTGGTTTGTCAGTTGCACGGCCGTGTGGTCTCTTTGTGTGACCGTGCAGCTTCCTTAGCACCTCGCCACGCGTCCGATCTTTGTCCAATCGACCCCAAACTCGCTCCCAAGCCTCCATTCACGTACTAGGACCTGAAATATCACCAACAAGCACAACCTAGCGTGAAATCGGCCTAAAACACGAGAATCAATACCTCAAACAGTGTAAGAACGGGGGTAAAAATATGTGTAATTAACGGTCTATCAAACTCCCCCACACTTAACCGTTTGCTTGTCCCCAAGCAAACCAAGTCAGACACCAGGTAAGCTTACAAATTTCAATCAACCAACATTGGGGACAAATCATAAAGGCATAGAACACGTGAATCGTACTGGTTTTCAAACATCAATACATGAACAACCTCAATAGCAACCTGGACAACCACCACAAAGGACATTCGCATGCAGCAAAATCGAGTAAAGGAAGAGTCTCCCTTCTGTTCACCAACCAACCTAGACTTGAGTCAACCACTCACTCAAAACAGTCAACTCATGCATCCAACTCACGACATCAGAATCGAGACCAAGCAATCTAGGTCCTCACCGGGGTACAAGAGTATATAGAATATGAAAATGAATCGCTCACTCTCGACCAGTGGGGTCAGGACAATTTGATGCGAAAAATGCGCATGCTATTTCTCTCAATCCCTAACATCTCTTCACCATGATGGCAGCCTCTAAATGCTAGAGTTCACATATGGGGTGTCACCACTAACTAATCCGGAGGTCTTAGACACAGGTTCAAATGACTGGCTAGGGTCTTGGACATGGGGAAAAGGCCTTTTAGGTGGTGGAAGCATTCATAACACAAGGTTCCACATTTCCAAACCCACACAATCACGTCAAACAAACCGGTATTTCCTTTCTGCTATTTTGCAATACTCAATATCTCAAGAGCACAAGAGCGAAGGAGGTACAAACATCAGCACTTCCAAGCCAGACTGCTCAGAAACACTACTTACTGGGCATTATTCAGATTTTTGGTAGTGGCTCTCTTTTGCTTTCAATTTTTTCTTTGTTTTTCTTTCATTTTCTTTCCATTTCTTAAGAGAGCCACCACTTCTGCACATATTTCAAACACCTGCCCAACTTTTCAGCACTACCTCCAACACTCACATCAACTTTAGCAGAAACATCAGAGAATATGTAAAAATGACTCTGTGGAACCTTCTAAAAGATGCAAAAGGGTGATTTTTTCATTAGAGACCAAAAGAAAGGATAACACACGGCTCAAAGGGGCTGACTAGGGGATATGACACATCAGGACAGTCAACTTTGGTCGTGGGCTAATCCTTTGCCCCCATCATCTTAGCTAGTGACACGTGAATGCTACACATCATGGAAGAGGGATCTATCGCACAAGAAAGAAACGAGCATGCTCAAATCTCACATGGCTACCTATATGCTCTATCCCACATTCTGATACCCTGAACTAGATGCATAAATGACTGTAAAGAACAAGTGATCAAATCAAGTCATAGTTGGTAAGCAAACAGTTGAAAAAACTGAACCCCTACATCGTTCTACTGCACCTCTCAGCCCTCATCATAGGTTGTCCTAGTCACCAACAAGTTGTCATGCATCAATCCGAAAACCATTCAATTCATCAATCAAAGCACAGTGCCAATATGATCAACCAGCAGTACTTGGAGCCCTCAAATCGTAAGATTCGGACATCGGACTAGGCTCCAAGCACACAGATATATATTCCAACCGATACAAAGCACCCCCCACACTTAAGCACGACATTGCCCTCAATGGAGTAGAGGGAGAGATAAGGGGAACTATGTTACCGGATTGAAACACTGCTGGAGGACTGGAAATGGACCAGTCAGCGGGGCTAGCATAAGCAAAACACACTGGGTGATAGAAACCATAGTTCCAAGTGGACAAACCGACAAAAACAAACGAAAGAAAAACAAACCTTGGTGGGGTTGCCTCCCCACAAGCGCTTCTTTTACGTCTTAGCCAGACGGTGGCTCCTAAGTTTCGGTCCACCCCAAAACCTCCTTGAAGTTGAGGTTCTCGTCGATGATGTGGAGTCTCAAGTCACAAGCAGGTGAAGTGATAGGTGATGAAGATGGCTCGTGGCCTTGAGGAAAATGAAGTCTCCACTCACGAGACCTCTCCTTCGCGTCTGCTCTTGTCTCATTGCCCCAAACCAGATAAGATATATTCGATTGACCACCATCGCATCCACCAAGAGGGATCGATGTTGGTGTGGTCTTAGTCTGGAAAAGAGACACTGCAAATGGGTCCTTGCCAAGCAGCTCCTCGAAGTTTGGTGGAGATATCAAATGTAACATAGGCCCGGTGCAAGCCTCTTCCACCTCAACTTCATCCTCAGCCTGGACGCCAATTGCCTCCACAACCCCCCT